CATTTCTTTATATAACTATGTTTCTGTTTATTTTGAGAAACTATTTTCGTAGACTAAACTACAGAATTGATTTAATTAGATCATCAGAGATATTTTTCCTTTTTTCTTTCTTTTCTTTTCGGGGATCGGGTTCAAAAATGGAGGCGTGGGGTTGAATGCCTGAAAAGGCAACTGCGCGGGGGGATGTACTGCGTCGCAGTTGAAATATCTTCTCAATGGCGGCATTAGTTATCAATAAACTAATATTGGAAATAAAAATTCCCAAGTACTATTGAAATGGGAATTGGGGTTTGCGCGCTTTTGGCGGCGCGAGAACAGGACAGCTCGATCACTCAGTAGAAAATCACAAGATCAATTCGTACAATATCTAACAATCTATCTCGGATAACATAGAGAGGAAGCGCATAAAAGAAAAAGACAAAAGGGACAAGGTATAATCAAAGACATAAGACACATGTGTAAACAACCATCTTGTACATGTATGCGTCGCGTGTTCGTTGGTTGTTCGTATGGTGTTCGCTCGTTGAGAGAAAAGACACATCCAACACTGGTAAGGTACGGAGTAGATATTTGCAGAAAGGGATTCCCGGTGAAAATTTTACCCACGCCGGATCCCCCATTACACTATCTCAGTCTGTCAGTCTGTCAGTCTGTCAGATCTGCTTCCTTAGAAATGACTAGATATCTGCAGGCAGAGAGATATATCAGCCTGCTTGCCTGTGTTCTCACACGGTTGGGGAATCCGCCATTGTTTGGTCTTCAGCCCACTGTATCATCTAGTTATTAGTTTTGTATCAAATTGAAGGGGCATTGAGGATGGATGTCTCTGTCTCCCAGACAGGAGAATTTTATACAAGGAGATTGTCGTGAAAGATATGGAAAAAATGGAACACTACAGTAGTTAGTTACATGGTAAGATTATCCAATCCACGAGGTATCTTCTTGTAGCCACAATTTTTGCAGATGCCTTCTCCAGACAGGATGCTTGGTACGAGTTTTTTTCTTTTTCCGGCAGTTGTTGTTCTTATAGTGACTGAGGTGTCGAGTGTCGAGTGTCGAGTGTCAACCATCGTCATCGGGGGCGTTAGCTGCCAAAGCTCCCCCCAGCGTGGATGCTGATAGGCCACGAGAGTCCGGGGAAAGCAGCAATAGTCGCCCCACCGGCGCTGTGGACCCTCAGTGGCCCCGTAGTAGTACATACTGTACATAGTAAGCCAGGTCTGGATCCCTCGTCCGCTCCCCAACGCCTCAACCATCCAATTGTCCCCTTGTCTGGTGCCGGATTTAAAGCAAAGCCCTCACAAACTTACCCATTCCCTGATATCCCACCATTCCACGGAGCACATACCGGCCCAAAAGCCTAGCCCAGGAGAGTAAAAAAAATAAAAAAAAAATAAAAAACAAGGAGAAGAAGAAAAGCCCACAATGGCCGCCCCCCGCTCAACTTCCCTTACGCGCTCTTCGTCTCCTAGCTGCTCAGCAACATGCACCACTCCCCTCTTCAGCCCTCGCCTCCGTGGCGCCCTTCCGCCGCTCGCTACACATCACCGGTGCATTCTCCGCCCAGCCCGCTCGCGGACCCGATGTAACTGCCATCTACCGCTCCCGCGGCCTGGGGGATCTACGCGCGGAATGCGAGAGAAGGAACCTTAGGAGTGCGGGGAATAAGGCGGAGGTATTCTCTCCCGTTTTTTTATTCTTCTTCTTCTTCTTACAGTTGTTATATCTTATTTATCTGCTCCATGGCTCGGTGGCAAGAAATGTGGCTGACAAAATATTATCCTCTTCAATATCGGTTGTATATAGCTCGTGGATCGCCTGGCAAACCATGACATTCTCCAATCTCGCGCATTTAGCATTGCGATGAGGAAGATCGATAACCACCTTCTGGGGACAGGGAGGTATGTTCCCCTCCATTTATCCGTCGTTATTTCCATCTACCACAGAATATCAAACAAGAATGAAAAGCAATGAACGCCAAAAAATAAAATAAAATAAAATAAAATAAAATAAAATAAAAATAAAAATAAAAATAAAAATAAAAATATAAAAAAATAAAGATAAAAACAACTAACAACCATCCTCAGCTCTTCTCGCACCTTCAACACCTCTCCGCGCCCAAAATCCGTCAACGACTCCTCAACCGTCGACTTCGTCTACATGCCCCAGGACATGGACGCCTTTTCCTCCCCCTCCGCCATCGCCGGCACCCCAATGCCCACCCCGCCAGACGCCTACGCCCACTACCAGCTCACAAACAGTACCGGCACCACCCCCGGCCCCATGAAACCCCAAATCTATACCGTCTCCGGCGACTACGACGCCCCATCGTCGAGTAGCGGTAGCCGTATGGGCACTGCTGCTGGCGGCGCTGCTGCTGGTGGTGGTGGTGGTGGTGGTGGAGCAAGCGCTATGAGCGAGGTCGTCGATAACCAAACCGTGGAGTTCGATCCGTTTGAGCTGACGGAGACGGTGAGGCGGGCGCGGGAGGGAGCTGCTGTGGCGGAGCAGGCGGCGATGGCGGATGGGACGGTTAAGGGGGTTGCGAGGCAGTTTTGGGAGGGGATTGTGGAGGATGTGGTGGGGAAGAGGGAAAGGCGGGGTGGGGTTGAGGGGCGGAAGTAGGACTGATGCATGTGTGTAAAAGGGGGAAGAGAGAGAAGAGAGAGGAGAGAGTAATCGAGGGCAAGTTAGATGATAGCTGTATTTTATTTAATGATGTGAGTGAGAGAAGTGGGGGAGACACCACTTTTGTCTGTGTCTTTCTCTTAGTTCATTTCATCTGCATCTACATATTTTTATTTTATTTATTTCTTTCTGTTTTTCTTTTCATCTATCTCGTTGCAATGCAGAATAACTCGTGGCTATATGAAGGTGGATTTGCTGGTTATTATAGAAACACGCACCAACTGAGCGCAGGGGATCTACGTGAGCCCCTCGGTTCCGTAAATCCTGAGGACTTGATAGGCAAGGAAGGGAGATCTCAAGGATTAAAATACTAAAATGTTGATATTATCAGTTACACTGATTGCTTCCTCCCTGATAGCGGAAGGAGGTAAGGAAAATCTTGTTCCTATGACATTCTGCCAAGGCCTTCAGATAACCAACCCACCCACATACATGTTCCATACAGCCTAACCGGATGAAATCCCACCATTCCACCATTCTACACAACCTTCCCTCCTCCAATAAATATGAATTCGCGTACAGTAAACGGGGGGGTTGGGGGGCAGCCATCTGCATTTCAGACTGAGAACATCGGTGGAGTAGGTTCTGCCCTTACCAGCGTACTCTAGCTGACAATCGTGGG